CATTGCTGCTTTGTTGTCAAAATCAGTAGACTCGTTGACCTGGATCGCATACCATGTGACTCATTAATCTTCTCTAGCAATTGTGCCTCGATATCCTCTGCTATTTCATCAATTCGTCTAATTATAGTGCTACCTGAAAGAGGAACACGTGCCACCTTTTGAACCGCAGCCTCTCCTAAAAGTTCATAGCAAATGTCCTTAGCAGCAGGCAGGACCAGCTCTTCACCAATAGTAAAGGGCTTCTTGGCTTTAGCAATGTGGTTAGCCACTAAGAATGATGCTGTCAGTGATGAAGTGGTGTCCTTCAATAATTGTTTCTGTTCTTTGTGTTCACGGTTTTTTTTTTCTTTTGAAAAACTCCAAAGACTTGTCTTTCAATGCAGGGTGCTTGGTTTCCATGTGGCGCAGCAGTTTTGAAGGTTTCATGTTTGCATAGCCTGTCGCCACACAGTCTTCAAAGTGGGCTTGAAGAATGTGAATCATCTGTAGCAATGAACCTGTAATTTAAGTAAGACTCTTGGTATTTTCCTTTAAATGCAGCTTTCTTTTCGTTGGTAGTTTTAGAGTCTTCTGCTGTCTCATTTGGATCTTTCCTCCTTTTCAAAGAATTTCTCCAGTGACATTTGTTTTTTATTCATTTTGGATAGGGTTGGTTTGTGGACTTACCAAAACTGTGACTGAGACAAGTGTGCAATGCAGGAAAGAGGCATGGATGGAAGCGGTAAATAACGTAATGCGCGGTCCACACGCAGACTAAAATAAGTGTTGGATTCTGGTTGCCACCAGATGCAGCTGTACAACTGAAGTACATCAACTCACTTGCCACTATAAAGCCTGCCACCAGATGCAGCTTAATTGTCACTTGCCACTCACTGATAGGGTTTTGATATGAGTCTGAGAGCAATTGATTTATTATGATCTCTGAGCAGTCAAACCTCTCTGCTAATGTTAATCTGTATTTGCAGCCTCTCCCCAGCACTAGCATCACCGCCTCAGCTCCACCTCTGATCACGGGGATTAGATTCTCATAAGGAGTACGCAGCCTAGATCCCTTTCATGCACAGTTCACAATAGGGTTCATGCTCCTATGAGAATGTAATACCTGTGATCTGAGGTGGAGCTGAGGTGGTGATGCTAGCGCTGAGGAGTGGCTGCAAATACAGATGAAACTTTGCTTGCTTGCCTAGAACCAGTCTGCAGCCTGGAATTTGGGGACCCCTGAAGTAACTGACAACAAAAGGGATGCTATTTAGTAAAAAACTTATCAGCTGATCCTATCTCTCACTTTGCAATTTTTTAAAAAAGCCTGGCAATCAAAAAGTAATTTATGTAATTCAATACTTTCTTCAGCCTAGTGGAAAAGCCAAAAGGAAGAGTATATTTTTAATGGCTTGTGAAATATCTTTAAATCCTTTCTCTTCTTTTTGATCATTTTCAAGGTCCCCACATCAGTGGTTTTCAAGCTTATGGGTACATCAGGTTCACATATAGGGCTTGCTAAAACACATATTGTTGGGCCCCCTCCTGAGTTTCTGATGCAGTCTGAGGTGGAGCCCACAAATCTGTATTTCTAACAAATTCCCAAGGGATGCTGAAGTTGCTGAACAGAGTATCTCAAAGCTCACGGTTTTCTTGTGTTGGTGGTGTGATAGAGTAGTCCAAACATTAGAACTTTTTAAAGAACGGGAAAGATGAAAAAGAGGAGGATTGGAAAGATTCTTCTAAGGGAAAAGAAAAAATAAACGTTAAAGACTAGAGTGCAGCCTTTGACTAAGAGAAAATGTGGAATTTAAGAATTTTCACATACGTCTGGAAGCAGAAATCCAGGATGCTTAATGTAATTCTCAAAATAGAATTCTTTATCTAGGCATCAAATAAGGAAAGAGAGAGGTAATAATTTAGTTACTTCTTTTCTTAAAACCCACTTAAAAATGAGAGAGGAGAGGAGGCATCTGAAAACAATGCAAAGGAAAGGGCCTGCAGAAATAACCTCTCAGCCGGTTAAAACTGCTCTCTCTCCCTAGTCTGCCCAGTGCTCTTCAGCTAACGTGTTTTCTCATAGCTACCTCCCCCAGCTCACATCTGTTGATTCATAGCTTGCTATCCAACTAATGTTCTTATCTCTGTAGCTGTGTAGGAATAACAAGACTATGTAAAACTGCTTGTTATGTTAAATTGGAGCTCAGCCTTTGGATAGGAATCCGCTGAGCAGGTCCCATCTTTCTGTTCAAGAATCCTGTAATGGTGCTGATAATGTCAAGGTCACCGGTTCTACAAAACAAACAACCTGTAACACCAGTGTGTAATGGCCTGCTGAAATGTGAAAGAGTTAAAGAATAATTAAAACCTGAAACTGGACAAAGGAAGTCTATAACATAGGCCTAGTTTCTGGAACCCCTAACCACATTCTGTTAATCATGAAACTTGTAACAATGAGCTCATGTGCTAACTGCCAATTTTAGCCTGTGTAACCCTGCTTGCTTGCGTGGCATGAAAAATAATCAATTGTATATAAGCTGAAAATTACTGTTTGGCCATCGCCCATGGGAACACTGGCTATTGTCCATGGGAACATAGGCAATCACCCATAGGAACATAACATTCTAATACAAGCTTTCTGCTTCTGTACTTCCCGCTTGCACACCTGACCAGTGGGTTGACAGGTAGTGAATAGGAGAAAGATGGACCTTTGTGTTTAAGACAGAATGAGGAATGGGATTTGGGGCTTAAAAACCTTGTATCTTGGCATTTCGAGGCTGCTCCTTTGCAAGGACAGCCGCCGGCTAATAAACTGTCTCCTGGTTAAGAGCACTCAAGTTGGGTCTGGTTATTCTGGACACAACACAGTGGTCTGGAAATTCCTCCCCATTTGCAGCCCTCCACCCGAAGCTACCCCTCCCATCCTGAGTCATGAAGCACATATGAAACCTCAGACAAAGGAATCACGCTCCCCTTGCATGGACACTGCAAGGGTATATAAGCTGTAAGAAATCTAACCAAGGGGAGATCGTGCTTTGGGTCTGTTGAATGCCCCACGCTCTCCACCGGCATTAAATTCTCCTTCCTCTAACAAAGTGGTCTGAGCATCTAATTTCCTCTGTCAGGTGTTGCTTCCTGCAACCAAAAGACCTTCTGAATGTTATGACTCTGCGTTTTCGATTTTCTTTTATGAAGATTATGTTCCATTGTCTCTGTAACTGCATTCAATTTTTGTTCATAAAACATATGCGTCACATAGATGAGACAAAAAAACAAGTTGCCAGCTCAGAGTTGCCATAAATATCTGTCTTTTTCTTGCTAGCATTCTCAACTCCTCTCTTTAACCTCTCCCTCTTACAACAGCAGACTATAAACGGCTTACGTTTCTAATTCTTGAATGGAAATATCTCTCAAACACAAATTTTCCTTTTACTAATGGCTTATGGCTCTCTGAAAAACTTAATTTACATTTTCGGTCTCCTTTTCTTACTTCCTGAACACATTAAAATTTATACCCTGCTTCCATGACCCTGACCTAAATTTATATGCCATGTGTTTTAAAAGACTAATACGTATTAGTGACTTCCTCGTTTTGTTTCTTTTTTTCAAAGGGAACAAGTTTACTTAAACTTTCCAATGATTAGTTCCTACTTCTGTGAAATTCTCTAATGTCTTAACTTCTGTAGGATAATTCTCTTTTCACTCACTGAAAGTCTATCAATGTCTTTTTGATCTGTATTGCTGGATTCAGTTCCTCTGTGTGCTTTGTAAATATCCCCAGTGTGCTGAAACAGGCCTTCTTCTCCTTTCCCTTTGCAACTTGACCTGCATGACCTTTCATATTCTTGTGGTTTTAACCACAATGAGAAGTTATTTGTACAGTTATGCTTCCCAGTTGTATATTTCTAATAGCAATTCTCAGTATATTCGATTTCCCAGTATACAGTCATATTTTGACATTCCACAGACATTTTAGGCTGTGTATATCTAAAAAGAAATTCCCCATCTTTATGCCCTCTCTTTGACTTCTACCTGCATTTTTGTTTCGATTCGTGTTCTCAGCAATTCATTCAGTCCCCTAATGCAGGGGTCCTAAATCCCTAGGTCACGTGGTACCGGTCTGTGGCCTGTTAGGAACTAGGCCGCACAGCAGGAGGTGAGAAGCAAGTGAGTGAAGCTTTATCTGTATTTGCAGCCGCTCTCCAGTGCTAACATCACTGTCTCAGCTCCACCTCAGATTGTACTCTGAAAAAAGAGGCCTAGACCATGGGATAGATCAGGAGTCAGCAAACTTTTTCTATAATGGGCCAAATAGTGTTATCGAGACAGAAAAGGCTTTCTAATTTGACTGCACATCTTAAAATCCCAGAAAAAAAAATTAACCCCTTAAAATTCAAATCAAATAATAGGATATAGAAAGAAAGAAACTATATAGAAAGAAAATTCTTGTGTATTCTATAAAAAGCACATTCGATTTAATTTCTAGTCTCATTTTCCATCATCCTTTTTCTTGAACTTTATATTCTAGTAACACTAAATCATGTGTAGTCCTGAGAATTACAGTTGTCTCTTTATCCACTATTCTGTTTTACTGCCATCCCATCTTCAAATTTCCACCTAGAAAAGTCACTTTCAGTTTCATAAATTGGCCTCTACTGTCATATTTCTAGAAATACACATCTTTAATTCCCCACAACGGCTAATAGAATTAACAACTTCTTTCTTTTTGCAGTTTCTTAAGCTTATACACACATCAGTAATTGAACATTATTATTTTGAAATATATCTGACTAGTTTTTTCTCCCTTAGTAGACCACATGTTCCTTAAGCACGAGGACTGTATTTTGGTCATCTGTATTCGCAATGCTGAGCGCATGGCCCAGTGTATAGAGAATTCTCAATATTTTTTGAACTGAATTGACCCGAATTCTGTCGGAAGACTGAAATATGGAGGCAGCTAGTTTCTGAAGCTGCTTCCCAGACAGGTCTAAAATACCGACATGTTTCTATTTTGAATGCAGAGAAAACTTCCAGATCATTATCAGCCTTAGGTAGAAATTGCCAACAAACTTCCTCCCTTGATTGAGAGTCACCAGCTTTGCACTCAAGTGGACAAAGTATATATATAAATATGTGTGTGTATATGTGTGTGTGTGTGTGTGTGCGTATACATATATATAAAATTTTTTCTCTTTAAGATCTTCTCACCGCCTTATTTAAATCCTCACACCACTTTTCTTTCTCAGAATTGTGGAAGTATGTCGATTGACCTAAGGATATCAATCATTGTCATTGAGCTTATCCACAAAACAATCTTAGCCTTCCTGAGGAGCAGAATGACTTGTTCCTGATTTGACACGTTTCCCTAACATTTTCAGAGCCTGCACGAAAAAATTCTTGGAACATATTAAGCTCTCAACAATTATTCGTTTAAAGAAAGAAGACAATCTGGTTGGGAACTGTGAGAAAGCTGATAGATAAGATCTAGCTGGGGAGGGACAAAAGCATAGAAATTCTCAATGTCCTCATTCCTGTCACCTGGTTAATACTCCTCTGCTTCTGAGTGAGTCTACCTTGATTTTAGTGTGAAGTCCTCATGGAATAGCTGAATCAAGAGAATTTCTGAGTTCTAAAGTCAGGGTTGTCAGGTTCTGCAAGAATAATTGATAAGTGTATAAATACATATGAGATAAGGTTAGAAATATTTCCCAAAAGTATGTAAGAAACAGTGGAATTTCTTGGTCCCAGGAGAACGAACATTATCCCACAGAAATAATCAGAAGGTGTAATAGGAAGAACATAGATTTTGATTCAGGAAAACGTGAGTCTGAATCTTGGTTTGATCACTTAGTAGCTAATAACCTTGAACAAATTACTTAATCCCTATAATTCTTCTTCTTTATTTATAAAATGAGAGAAATTCTGGTCTCATAGAATTGTTGTGAAGAATAAATGACTTTTGAAAGTGCCCTTTCATACATACTGCCACACAATAGTCTTCAATATATATTTATACTTCCCATTTGTCTCTCTTTCATCTGTCTTAATCTCACAGTTTAGAGTGCAATGTGATTTCAGAGACACAAGAAAAGTTTTCCACGCTCCAAGATTTTCTTTCATTGACTTAAATGTATTTAATGTGTATAATTAAAAATTCATTTAAAAACAATTGTTAAATGCCTGCTAAGTTCAGTCACAAGAGAAGAGACTCCATAAGAGATGGAAGAGATTGTCTCTAGTGTCTATGCAAATGGCTAACTAAACTTAAAGATTTATTTTCCTGCCACATAAAGTCTCCTTAAGATGACCAAAGAAATTTTTTAAAAAGTAGGAAAATACCTGTAGTGTGAGAAAACAAGAGAAAATACCAATGATGGGATAAAAACTTTAAGAATTTTCATACTATATTAAGCAAACCATACAGATTCATAAATGAGTCTACAGTAGCCAAGCATTCAACAAAAAAAAAAAAAAAAAAGTCCCCACTGTCCCCTTCCCCATCTCAGAGTAGCCGGGCATAGAAACAAGAGGAAATCTGGGACAGTTTGCAGGAAAAGGCAGGAAAGTCCCAGGCTTTCCTTGGGCTTTACTTCATTAAACTGCCATAAATAAAATGAAGACCTTATTGAATTGGTATTCCTCATATGTTAAATGTCAATAAGAAAAGGCCAGCAGTGTCCAGCTAACTTCTGTCTACTGAAAATGTGGGAGTTCAGGAAACAGCTTAGCACAACAGCGAAATCAATCTCCTGGAACTTCTACTAGGTTGAGCAGTGTCTCTTCAGAAAGCATGTTTACCTGGAAACCTGTGAATGTGACGTTATTTGGACATAGGTCTTTATAGATGTATTCAAGGAAAGTGAGGTCAAATCCAGTAAGACTGGTGTCTTTATAAGAAGAAGAAAGTTTGGACACAGACATACAAGGAAGAACACCATGTGGAGATAGAGGCTGTGATTAGAGCGAGGCATCTACAAACTACACCAGGGGTTGCTGGCAATCACCAGAAACTAGGAGACAACCATA